TAATAATTTTCCCTTGAGATTATAAAACTTAAATAAAATCTCAAGTTAAAATGATCATTTGTGGTGTGTTGCATCAAGAAATACATGCTCATCGCTATTAGATATACATATCTATATAAAAAGAGAGAGAAAATTATCTAATTTTTCAAAATTTCAAAATTCTGAAAAATCTATTTTTTTATATATATGTATTGAAATATTTTGAAAATTTTGAACTTTTTTTCAAAGCAATCGCGCTACGTTTGCTGCGTGGAGAAGCAATATCGAAGCGCGTAAGCGCGGCGTCGCAGTCTTCCGCATGGGCATTGGCACAGAACCCATACAAACGCAAACGGTCTAGCCGTTTCGAAGATACGGGGCAAAAAGCGCCAAAAATGCTAATTCAGTTTTTGAGAAAACGGAGCGTACGATTTGAATGATTTAAAAAAGATTGTATTCATATTAACAAAGTAAAGAACTGATTGATTTTGGGGAAGGCAGCGGTTTCAGAGATCCAATAAAAAAAGTAAAAAATGTTTTCTGGCGGCTAAAAGTGATCATTACAATGAACAATATTTATATTTATATTACGGATACAGGATTAAATTTAGTAATTACAGGATGTAAATTATCTTCATTGAATTAATTAATTAATTAATTACAGTAAAATACAACTCTAAAACAATATTAAGCCTAACATTAGTATTATGTAATGCAATAACTTGAAGAAAAAATGTTATATTGAGATGGTTTATTTAAGGTTTGTAGATCTTGAGATTCTTCTGATGGTAAAAAAATCATTTGAATATCCGTTACGCAATTTTCATTTGAGTCCAATATCTGGAAAATAGTAATTAATGACAGTATCAAAAAAAAGAATATAATATGAAAATAATTGTAATGATACAATACTTAGGATAGAAAAATGTTAAAATAATTTGGAATAAAATAATTTGGAATAAAAATTATAAAAATAAGGAAAAAGGAAAAAATAATTGTAACTGTTGGAAAAAAGTATCAGATATTATCAGTAGGCATTTTATTATCAAAATATTGTTTGATATCGAAATTGGCAAATTCACAAGTATCATAGAAACTTTGGGCTTTTAAAAGTTTAACGATGATATTGTGAAATTGTCGATCACTCAATTTCCTAACATGTAGTGGGAGTAGATTTAAAAACTGTACTCCTCTTCCGTCAATGGTATTAAAAGATGTTTCAAGTTTAAAAGTTGTTCCTTTTATAGTAAAATTTCTTGTTTTATGATAGGAATTCGACATGGAGGATAGGTTGAAGCGTTGAGGATTTTTCTTTATGAATGAGAACGTAATTAGCAAAAATATACAGGGAATGTTAAATTGAGTCAGAATGTTAAATTGTCGGAAAAGATTCTTACATGAGGACAAGGAACTGAAAGAAAAAATTATTCTTAATGTTCTTTTCTGTATTTTGAATATATCCTTTAAGGATGAATCCCCAGAATTGTATTCCATATGCAATATGCGAATAGAAATTAGAATAATAAATTGAAAGAAGGCAATTTAAACTTACTTTTGATTTTAGAATCCTCAACATGAAACATGTTTTTGTTAACTTAGGTACAAGTATTGAACAAAAATGATTGTCCCAGTTCAAGTTTTTCTGTAATTGGATGCCTAGAAATTTAGAGACTGAGGAAAATTCAAATTGAATGCTATTGATAGTTAAAGAATTGATTTCATGACTTATTCTATTTACTGTTTGAATCATTAGACATATGAACATCAAATTATTAGTTATTTTATAGACATGTTAATAATAATTTCAAATTTTGTTTACATTTTTCTGGATTCCGTACCAATGTACTGCGCAGACGCGCTTCGATATTTGGTCTCTAAAACAGCTACACAACGCGATTGCTTTGAAAAGAAGTTAAAAATTTTGAAAAAAAATCAAAATATAAAAAACAAATAGTTTTTTTTCTGAAATGTTAATTTTTTTCAAGAATTTCAAGATTCTCAAAAATGTAATTTTTTTAAGTTAAAAAAAATAATTTTTGGTAAAGTAAGTTTCAGCAATTTGCCTTAAGACACAATGCCATGCACCACTAGTTCCTTTATAAATGTTAAAGCCTCATAAATTTACGAATAAGTAAAGGCCAAAATTACAAGTTATAAGAAAGCTCAAATGCACCGTTTAATAATATCAACTTGAAAGTGACCGAGACGTCGAGAGGGTAAAGATTATGTAGGCTTTCCGTTTTGTTTACACTCCCTATCCAATGTTTGCCAAATGCTTATGCTCTCATAATATCCGCAATTTATTGAAATTTTTAATTCAATGCTTGCCATATGCTTGCCTATCCCGTATAAATGATTTCATATTATATAATACTTTATTTGTTTCTAAAATTGTACTTTAAAGTAACAAAATAAAATATAATTTAAAAAAAAAATTAAAAATGGCGGTACCAGCGTTTTGGCACGCAGCCGCGCAACCGCGGCACGCAAAATACCTACAAAAATTTTAATTTTTTTAATTCGAATTTTCAATAGTATATTTAAAATATTATATTTAAAATAGCATTTTAAAGTGCCCATCATAGCGGATTTCAAAAATATCGATGGTGTGTGTTTGCCGAGCCCTTTATTTAAAATCGTTAAATTTCAGCGAAAAAACGGATAGTAATTTGTTAATAATTGATGAACAAATTAACATATAGAAAATCAGCTATAATGGGTACTTAAAAATGTAGTTTTAAATATACTGTTAAAAAATCGAATAAAAAAAATTTAAATTGTTGTAGTTATTATGCGTGTCGCATTGTTAAATCGCGTTTCGAGAAAAACGCGTTTAAAGTTTTGAAATAAATTATAGATCAAAAAAATAAAAATTTGTCAGTTTTATTTTTTTATTTTTTTTTTACTATTAATCTGATATCTCAACAACATACAAATGCCATTCTATATTTATATTATTTTTTTATTATTTCTTTCCCTTGATGATTTTATATTTAAGGCGTACGCCAAAGGTTCTAAGTATATTTTAAACATATTTTTTGTTTGTTTGTTCGAAAAATCTACAGTGGTGTAACACCTTAATTTGTTGCAGCTTATGCATCATACACACATTTTACTGAATATTTTTTTATACACGTTATTTTTAAGGCAATCAGAACAAATGTATGTTCTATAAGCTGTACTGAACATTACTTATTACTAGGACGTTTGTTGAGGTTAGTAGGCAATCCATTGATTGACCTTACTCTAACTGAGATATAGTTTTAATTTTTATACTAAACGCTATTAGAAGACAGCCCCGGGTCATCATTCCAATTGGGGTATTGCAGCAATGCCGACACTTAGATACATATTGCTATCTATATTTCTCTGAATCAAGTCTCGCCTTATTGAATAATGAATTGCCTTTTGTATGGAAGATCTACGAAACATATGTAATGTAGCTGCTACATAACAAGCAAAAGCAAAAAATTCATGTTGAAAATAATTAACGTTTATAACTATACGACAAATATTGCCTCATAACGACGAAGACAATAAACGCTTTCACATTCCCTTGCTTCTATTTTTAGTAACTCTTTTTTATATTAATATTACAGATATAGTGCATTGTCATTAAACTCAGGGGCAGATTCTGCCGTAAAGTAGACCAATGTTATGGCTAGGTTATGTTATGTAGCATTTTTCACATAAAGTGAATCTGGAAACGCACAAATGTCAAAAAACTGGATCTTTGAGATATGGCTTGATAACATATGACTGAAGTTGCATTTTATGTGTAAACGCCTGATTGCACAGCAACATAACATTTAAACGGTTTTTGGAAGCATTTTGTATGAAAACTGAAACGTAACATAGCCTTGCCATAACATATTGGTCTACTTCACGACAGAATCGGCCCATCAATTTATTTTCATATTTTTTTCGTTAAATTATCAATTATATTTTGTTGGCAGTAGTTATTTCATCCCTACTCTTTTATTTCTTATATCAATTTTAAACTAAACATAAAAACATTCGGTTACTATTTCAAAAAAATGAAAACAGTAATATAAAGACAGAAATGAATTTTTATTACTCACTTATTAACCATATATTGATTGTAATTTTTATAATATAATTTATATAAAATAATTCAATTTTATAGACTTTCTATAGAACATATTTTTAACGTATTTAGACAATGTATTCTGAAAATAGACTATTGAAAAGCGAAAGGTAACGTTAAAAACGCAATTTTCTTTGAAAATAACTTCCAGTGTAACACCTAGAAACTGTAGTTTCTACTGTAATATTACTAAACTACCTGTTTTGAATATTGTAAGGCGTGTTAGGGCGCATTCGGGCGTAGGCGCGAACTTAAAGCGCATGCCTCGAGACCGATGTGTAAAATGTGATGATATACACGTGTCAAAACAAAACAAATAATATTTGAATTTTCAACATTTCTTACTTAAATTTATCGTGATGAAAAATGATACATCATGTGTAGAAGACAAACCAAACTTAAATTGGAATACTTTCATAAAAACATTAATTCGCCAGTAACTGTTTCTTTCAAAATTGGACAATGTTATGTTATTATTGACAACAATTTATATAGCAGTTTCTTCGTAATATAGGAAATAGATTAAATTCGATAAATTAACTGTGAAAATCCATTATTTGTATAGTGACAATTTAATTCACTATTAACATTTTATTTAAAAAAATAGTTTTGGCAAACATTCATAGTATCATTAGTAATACGGACGCATGCGCATACCTTGTTTACAATTTGCCTGTGCCGAAAATGTGTGCATCGAGATTTTTCTACGTCGGCCGAGGGCACTACTTTAACACGCTAGTCGGTTATCGATCAGCGCGTCTCGCTTTTACAAATGCTAAAATGCGCGATGATGGCAAATACGAGCGAGACGTGCGATCTATTGCGTTTCAAGTTATGTAGAATCCAGACTGAAACGTACGTCGGTTGTTTGCACGCGAGGTCTATCTCTCTGCAGCAGTCTGGCGACACATGACCGGATAGCGCAGAACAAGATGGTTCGCGTCCGAACGCACCGTGAATTAATGTTTTTCTATTACTAGTGAATTCGTTTTGTGCTTACGAAAAAAGTTAAAAATAATATACCGATTTTTTTGGATTTCTCAAGTGAATCAATTATTTTCCATACAGTGTGACTATTTGTGATTTATTCAGTTTTTTAGTGTTTAGTTTTAAAATATATTTGTTGTAATATAACTGTTCGTGAGGCTGAATTTGGTGCATTTACACAGTCAGTGTTCTAATCGATCTAACCGTTCAATTATTAATGATCATTTATTTAATTCTATCTAAAAAAAAGTTCGTGCAGGAAACAAAAAGTGTTTTAATATCAGTGATTTGACTTAATAACAGTTCGTAAATAAATTTGTGTTTGAAATATTGCACAGAGGCTACCACCTACGACTGCATCACGACTGATTATTAGTAATGCGAATTCGCTTTTATGTTTTCATAGAAAATACGCGCGCTACATACAGACAACATAGTGTATATACGTAGTGATAGCCATTACGTTTGTGTTTGTTCTCATTGAAACAGTCCGTGATAATATTGTTATCCTTGTTTGGCCTGTCTCGAGACTACCGCACGCAAAAGAGAGGACCGCCGATAACCGATGCCACGTTCTTTCGTGTCGTAGGGGCTTTCATTGACCTGGAATGCATGGATAGTAACCGGGATCGCCGTCTGTTTTGATGGCGTCGCCACTAGCGTCATAATACTACACGATGCACACATGTGTTTGAGATAAAATTCCAGACGGTCGCGCGAGCGTACATTCGGTACGCAAGTATTTGTGTCTTTTTGTCAAGTTGCGTTTGCAATATATATAGGAACACGTATTTACATTTCGAATTATTTTCATAGACAATGTTCATTATAGGGAACCGCCCTTAAAGCTTTAGCGTAGTACGCAACATAGCATGTGGATAAATAGTCTCCGAACAGACGGGGCATGGCGGCTACCGTGAAAACAAACCCTTCGGCGGCCAGCAATGGTGGTGGCGATGTCGTCTTACACGGATATTTGAAAAAACTAAAGACGATGAAAAAGAAATATTTCGTGTTGCGATCAGATTCCGCGGAGGCATCGGCGCGTCTCGAGTACTACGACTCCGAGAAGAAGTACAAGGCAAGGTCGCCGCCGAAGCGCGCGATTCTATTGAGGAGCTGCTTCAACATCAATCGACGATCGGACACCAAACACAAGTGTGTGATCGCTTTACATATGAAAGATGACTGTTTTTGTATGTTATTGGATGCCGAAGCGGAATTAACACAGTGGCTGCGGGCTTTATTGGCTCTACAGCGTGGGGGCGACGATGAAAATGACACCGGAGAAGCACCCAGGCCCACTTTCGGTAAATTACCTTATTTAGTTTAATTTAGATTTAGATTACCTACAGATTATCCAGGTTGTGTAATATACAATATACAATTAACTGGATATAGTTCACTTATTTCAGTAATTTATTATTACTATTTATGAAATTATTATTCTTAGTAATGAGCTATTATTGCATAGGGAACTTTAGTTGTTCCGGGTTTCCAGATTTGTTAGATAATTTGCGCGCGACGAATACTTATTGTGACGAAAGGTGACTCACTATTATTTTTATCTCGCCGTATATGCGTTCTCCATGAACATTCAATTCATTCATGAATGCACTGCCCATTCATTACTCCTTCACAATATCACAACTCGCCGCACTACTACAATATGGTTTTACTATGCTTCCACGTACTCCATTTGGCCCGAGTACACCCGTACGTGGTCGTAATGAACGATTTACACAAAGATTATTAACTAGCGACTCAAAGTTCATATTGAGATCGGGGCCCACCTTGCCCGTTCATGCCGTTACCTATTTCAGTTTCTTTGTAATCACCAAATGTTAGAAATTAGACAGACAATTATCGGCAACCTCAAATAATCTAAATGATGAAACATGATCGAAATCATTTGAATAATTGCTTTATTTGTACTTCCTTTAGTATATATTGTTCAAATTTCTTTCCTGTTCAAGTTCTTTTCCTGTTTCTTACTTGGTTTAAATGTGTTCAACTGAACTTCTTTCATTTTTATTTAAGCAGGTAAACAAAATAAATTTATCGTGGTTCAATTTTTAACTTACTAAATTAATTGAATTAAACCTAATTATTATTTTTTGTACTCGTATTCAACAGCAATCAGAATCTTACGTCCTATGAGCTGTTGAACTGAAACTTCTCTTTACGTTTATTTTTAGATAATGCAAATTGATATTGAATTTCATATTATGTATTATATTTAGTTTTACGTATTAATCTCAAAAGAAAAAGCATTGAAAATCATAAATTATTTTAAAATTTTAATAAAATACTTGTAAAATAACATGAGATCACATTTTCAACATTATAGTCGGAATATCATAATATTACGATCGCCCAATTACCATTTATGAAATTCAATTAAAAAAATAAAGCATTTTCTTTACTTATTTTCTTACTCTACAGTAAACTTCTAAATCTATCAATTTTTGACAATTTGAAACACTTGATATTAAAAAGATACACAAAAATGTAACAAACAACTCTTCTGGAATTGCTCATTCAAGTTTATGATAGGATACGTCGTGCTTAAAACTTGCAATTTGTACTTAATTTTTCTCTGTTAAAGTGACACTAAAAATACGAGTAAAAATTGCATTTAGCAAAAAAAAATTAGCAACGGTTTATCAATCCATATTTATTAATTATTTATTATTAGAATTTATCTAATAGAGCTAGATAATCATTGATTTTGATGCAGCAATTCCAGTGTGCTATCTTCACATGGAAATATATTTAAGATCTATATTTTCAAATGAAAATTGGTATCACTACTGCTCGATATCAGGGTTGTCTGTGTAAACCTTCAAAATAGTTCAGTTTTATTTTTCTAGTAAAATCAAATGTGAAATGCTCATGTGATACATTTATCTATTAAAAAATCGCAATTTAGCTTTTTATGTTAATTGCTTTTTGCGTTATTATGACGTTTTTTGCTATTCGACTATTCAATTTGTTATAATCGATTACAACTCACAAATATATTCATAGTTATAAAGTAAATGCAGTTCAATTCCTGAACTTGTCTCACAATGTGGTGTTTTATCTTTCTTGATAATATGACACTGCGTGACCTGTGATCTTCCTCAATTTATTGCTAATACTTTTTTACTTCCGTTTAAGAACATTTTCATTTTCTCTGGTCTATATTATGTGCTTTTAACTCAAATGCATTTAGTTTGAAAACTTCAATTCAGGCGAATGTTGTCAAAATTATTTTCGTCTATAAAATCTTCATGCATGATTATCTAGAGTGGAAATAATTTTAAAGTATTTTTTTATTACACAGACAATTGATGTTGCTGCTAAATATGCTAACCTTCTTTTTACACATTATAATGTACACTGTGTAAATCAAAACATATTACTCAAATACTAAATAAATGTTACTGAAGTATAACGGATAAACGTTAGTATGAAACCCATAGAAATGTTAAAATTTATACTTATTATTAAAAGCTCTATGAAACATCTAATAATTTGATCATTGATCATTTTTGACTGCCAAATGGCAAACAATAAAAATTCTTGTTTTTAGTTGATGTACTAATACATCGACCTAATGTTTTTCAATATATTTATTACAGAAATTCAAGGCGGCCACGTATTTAATAGTGTTGCAAATAACTAACAGTGCTATCGCTCCTCTAGTAAATGCTTTTAGGGAATCGCAGTTTTCGGCGGTTCAACGTTCGCTCTCAAGGTTTTTGTTCATTGCTGATCATATTATTTATTTATCTGTTTTTTTACATCGACCACGCGAATATAGTAAACTTTGTAATGTATTTTAATCGAATTGAAATAATTTTTGGCAAATAAAATTTTTGTGATAGCGATTTCAAGTCACTTCATGTAATTTTAACGTGATAAGATAACATACCATATCCAAGGAACGAGAAAAGGGAGATTTTTAGTACAGAAAACAAATATCGTAAAATCATAAATAATAAAAGGGCTTTCTCTGAACCTACATTTTTTTTTATTTTTAACAGCAATCAGAACCTTACGTCCTATGAGCTGTTGGGCTGAAACTTCTCCTTCTTTCGTATTTTTAGATGGTAACCCAATGGGTTAATCCATCCATATTTGATGATTTTTGTTATTAGAATTAATCTAATAGGGCTGACATTTTCACTTGGAAAGATATTGCTATCTATATTTCCAAGTGAAAATCGTTGTCACTGCTGCCTGACAACAGGCTGCTCGAAGTGGGTATCGAACCCGGGACCTCTGATTCAGGTCTGAACCTACATGTGTTCCAACTTTGGGGTTGTCTAGTAAGTTTCAATATAGTCCTTATTCAACGTGGCCAATCAGTGATTTTGAGACAAATCACTGATGCCCCTTGGTTCATTAGCAATCAAACTATCCACAATGATCTTAACATTCCATATATTGTGGATGTAATTAGCAGCAATAGCCTTCACCATCACTTAAAACTGGAATCACACCCAAACCACATAGTTTCAGCACTACTCGAGATCCCTTATTCAAGAAGACTGAAGAGGAAATTTCCATGTGATTTATATTAATTTATTTAATTAACTGATTAGTTAACTGATCAATGGAACAGTTTTCTGTTCTATTATTATATTTATTATTATTATTATTATTTATTTATTTTTTCTTTCTATAATTTTTATGATTATTATTTCTATTTACTTGTTATTATTATCATTATTATAGTGAGTTATTTCTTTTTATTATTTTTTTCCTTTACTTTACATTATAGATTATGTTCTCACTGTAGCTTATAGAATTACTTACTTTATTCTGATTGTTACATACAAATTTAATAAAAATAATTTCATTCGAATGTTCCAATTCATCGAAGTTTTATTTTATTTAAAATTCGAATTTTCAAAATGTGGTCTGGATACTTCGCTTATCATTTTTATTTCAATAAGAATTTATTAGTATTTGTGTTTGTCGACCGGATTGCATACATCTTATATTTATATAACAATCGCAACGATATTTGTCTTTAACCATATGTATCGTATCTAAAGTCTTATGAATTTTTAGGTTTTTGAACCCATATGTAGCTAATGGCCCAGACGAAAAGTTATTTCGTGACGGGTTGTCTATTCGTTCTTGATATAATAGCGTTTCAAATAGATTTGCTGGCATAGTATTGGTTAAATTATAATAAAATTTTATCTCGATTTTTATAAAATCTGTACGTTTACGAGTTTGTATATTCAATACCTACCATAGCGGATAAAAACATGATTTGAATTTATCTATCATTCACAGTACTTGTGTTTTTATTTGAAAGTTATTCTTGTATGCTGAAGGTCAATATAACGCCTACGTTGTATGCAATGTATATCCGCCCCTGTGCATTATTGCAAGAATATATATATATATATATATATATATATATATATAGAAATAAATGGATATGTTTGTGTGTTTGGGTATGTATGTATGTATGTATGTGCGTATACAATTTTTCGTCGACGATTTCGAGAACACGTATCAACCAATTTGAATGATTCAAAAAACATTCGATTCTTATTGATAAGGAGACGTGCTGTATAGTTTTTGGCAAAGGCAGGTTCAGTCGTTTCGAAGATACGGGACAAAAAGTGCCAAAAACGATAATTCAATTTTTAAGAGAACCGAGCGTTCGATTCGAATGATTCAGAAAAAATTGTATTTGTATTGACGGAATGAAGAAATGAGGAAATTTTTGGGAAGGCAGGTCTAGCGGTTTCGGAGATCCAATAAAAAAAAAAGTGAAAAAAAAACGCCATTTGGCGGATTAAAATGATCATTAGACATATGCACATCAAATTATCACATATTTTATAAATATTTTAATGATGAAAACGAATTTTATTAACATTTCTATGGGTTCTGTACCAATGTTTATCTGTAATACTACGACGCGGCGCCCACGCGCTTCTATATTTCGTGTCTACGCAGCTAACGTATCGCGATCGCTTTGAAAACCAGTTGAAAATTTCCAGAATATTTCCAAGTATGAAAAAAATGAAATTTTTGAAAAGGTCAATTTTTTTTGAGGAATTTTAAAAATCTCAAAAATCTATTTTTTCTGGGTTCTAAAATAATTGAATCTGTTCTAAAATTTTTAATTTTGGTACGGGAAGCTCTAGCAATTTGCCTCTCAGACACGATGCCATGCACCACTAGTTGTATTTTAGAAGTGTTTCAAATAAAATTACTTTATAGTTTGATTGAGATATAACTTCACCCAGTGATCGATTATTAAAATATTCACGGAGAAAAATATCTCTGATTTGAGCGATACGAAATGCAGCAGGCTGGACAAGAAAGTTTTCCCTTCTGACATCACTGGTAGATTCAAAGCGTATTTTATCGTTGCCCGAATGATTTTTTATCAACTGCGCTTGTTTTACTTCTAAATTTGCCTTTGAGAAACATTATTTCAGCCATGCATTTTACTCGTTCGATATTAGCAATATAAACGCATATGAATGCAGCATTGGCGAAATATTATGAGCGTGTACACAGTTTTAATTGGTTTTTATCACAAAGCGCATCGTGCTCGGTGAAGAACAACAAATACATTCTTTGTCTGGATAAAATAATATGTATGGATGTGTAATATTGATATATATATATATATATATATATATATATATATATATTGAATAAAATGTATAAATTGCTATATGTGTATCCCACGTGATATTATAGCACACAGTTTTTGTATATTTTATGCATTAACACAAGCCTTCGCTACAATGTTGCTAACGATTTATATGCATGCAATGGTCAGATATTAAAAACTGTCATTACATGTTTCTTAGTAATAAGGCACTTATTCAATTTGTTTTCGTTGAATATATTAATACATTTGCAGATAATTTGGTTGCGTTTATTGATTAAAGTCAGAAAATCGTTATTACAATGTTTGAACCATGTAATAATATATAAATAATTTACTATGGCATTATTACGATTATGGCTCTGATGAGAACAATTTTTAAAATAAATTTTCATAAAGGAAATTTGGAATTCTATTGAATTTTTTATTTGCATAGTCTTAATAAATTGAATGCTACACATATGTTTATCTTGTTTAATACTGCATGTTGATTTAGAAATTCCTTATGAATATTTTTATTATGTACTTCCCGAGCATATTCAATAACGGTGGCGAGCCGTTTTAATCAAAATTAAATCATAATGAATTTATGGTATTGATTTT